GAGCAGTGTATAGGATGTTTCGCGGGTGTAAGAGGAGTTGCGCAAAATGAGCTCCTAGAGAAGGGTTAGATTAAGCCCAGTTCGTCTCCATTCGGAACACCTGTTCTGTTTGTCCCCAAGAAGGAGGGAGAGCTTAGGATGTGCATAGACTATAGGGGTCTGAATGCTATCACAGTGAAGAATGATGAGCCACTGCCTAGGATAGATGATCTCCTGGATCGAGTGCAGGGGTGCAGATATTTTTCGAAGATAGATTTGAAGTCCGGATATCATCAGATAGAAGTTAATCCTGATGATCAGTACTAGACAACTTTCCGGACTAGGTACGGGCACAACGAGTTTCATCGTGATGCCCTTTGGACTAACCAACGTGCCAATAACTTTTCAGCGATGCATGAATGACTTGTTTAGGCCTTGGTTAGATAGGTTTGTTATTGTTTACTTGGATGATATCTTAGTATTTAGCAAGACCCTCCAAGAGCATCAGGGTCATCCCAGGCAGGTCTTGGAGAAGCTGAGGGAAGCTAACTTCAAGATCAACTCAAAGAAGTGCGAATGGGCAAAGACCCAAGTTTTGTATTTGGGTCACTTCTTAGACGGAGACGGCATCAAGCCAGAGGATAGTAAGATTGCAGCGATCAGGGACTGGCCTACACCACGTACGTTAACAAAGTTGCGGTCATTCTTAGTCCTAGCGAACTATTATCGGAAGTTCGTAAGGAACTTCTCCACTATCACTGCGCCCCTTGGTAGGTTGCTAAGGAAAAAAACCATTTGAAAGAGGGATAAGGATTGCACGTCTGCCATGAAGAAGTTGAAGCAGGCACTGATAGAGTATCCGGTCCTTAAGGTGGACGATCCGTCCTTACCCTTTGTCGTCACTACGGACACCAGTCAATACGGCATAGGTGTTGTTCTGCAGCAAGACGATGGCAATGGTTATAGGCCCATATAGTTTATGTCTGCTAGGATGCCTTTAGAGAAGGTTGCGACATCTACCTATGAGAGGGAACTCTACGCTCTCCGGCAAGTGCTAGAACACTGGAAGCACTACTTGCTTGGGAGGCACTTCAAAGTCTATTCTGACCACGAGACGTTAAGATGGCTAAAGACGCAGGCCAAGATGACACCTAAGCTTACTAGGTGGGCGGTAGAAATACACCAGTATGATTTTGAGCTCAAGCCAGTCAAGGGGAAATATAATGTAGTTGCGGACGCTCTAAGTAGGAGAACTGACTACTTTGGAGCGATAGTTCACTATCTGGACATACGGAGAGACCTGCAGGAAAGGGTTAAAGAGGCGTATGCATAGGATCCTATCTACAGTGACCTCCTCAAGAGAGTAAAGGAGGCCCCAGAGACCGAGCCCGATTATCGCACTACCGACGGACTGTTATTTGAGAAGACTAACGTAGTTGACCGTTTGTGCATTCCCAATAGTGAGGAGATCCATAGTTTGATTTTAGGGGAATGCCAGGACAAAGAAGGACATTTTGGTTGGCAAAAGACTCTAGCTAACCTAATGCACGCGTATACTTGGCCAGGGATGAAAAATGATTGTATAGGGTATGTTCGCAGTTGCAAAGTTTGCTAAAGAAATAAGACTACTACGAGTGCCCTGCTAGGTCTTCTCAGACCCTTACCTATTCCTGATCAGCCAGGAGATTCGGTGTCCGTCGACTTCATGGACGCTGGCGTCAAAAGTAGGCATAGCAAGAGCCAAGTCATGGTGATAGTCGATAGATTTAGCAAGTATGTTGTTTTTATACCTTTGCCTTCAGAGGCACGGACCGAGTTAGTGATTCGTAAGTTCTTTGACAACTGGGTCAGTGAGCATGGGGTCCCATTGTCCATAGTTAGTGATAGAGACACCCGGTTCACGAGTCAGAACTGGCAGGAGTTGATGAGAGTCTGTGGCTCTAAATTGCTAATGTCGTCTGACCATCATCCAGAGACCAACAGTCAGACTGAACAGATGAATATGATCATGCAGCAAGTTTTGAGGATCTACATTAGACCAGATCAAGTTGACGGGGACGAGATGCTCCCCAAGGTAGCCAGTGCCTACAACAATAGTGTGCATTTGTCTACATGCCGCACTCCCAACGAACTGCATAAGTTCTTTAGGCCGCGCAGACCGTTTGAAGGACTTAACCGGGATCAGATTCATAGGCTACCGCCCGATACTAGGAAGTTCGCTATACAACACGAGAAGGAACTAGCTACTGTTGTAGAGAACCTCAGGAAGGCCCAACATAGAATGATAGAGCAAGCCAACAAACATCGTTGCCCCTCACAGTTCCAAGTAGGCGATTTAGTCGGGGTCAAGGCTAAAGAACATCTCGCAAAAGTTACTACCTGCGTATAGAGGACCGTGGCCAGTTCTAGAAGTCAAGGGCGGAGAGGATGGTCTGTCCTACACAATAGAGATTCCAGCACACCTCCACACCTACCAAGTTTTCCATGCCTCAAAGTTGTTGCCGTGCACCATAAGTGACCAGTTCGCGTCTACACGGTCCATGATCCCTCCAGACATGGACGGGAGGTACGACATTGACGACATTGTACGTGAAGACGTGTTCAAAACAAGAGGTAGAGGTCGTCCTCAGAAACACTATAAAGACAGGTTTGCATACCAGGTTCCAGAGGACGACCGTTGGTTCACAAGAACCGAACTTCTAGAAACAACTCCCGACGTAGTCAGGGCCTACGAAAGAGATAGAAAAGGTAAAGGTCCTGCCTCTCGGAGGACCTCGAATTTAGGCCGGCAGGAGTGAAACGGTACTCACCAGTTCGCAGTAGCCGATGCAGATCCCAGGGTTCGATCCCGCGACCTGTGTATTTGTAACAACTGATAGGTCGTCGTAGGGTCCGTAGGTAGCATGGGTTTGATCTGTACACCTGGTGGTTAGGAGTCTTAGTGAGGTTTAGAGGTCATAGCCACAACTTTTCCGAAAGGTCAAGGTCGTAGCTAGTCCAGTCCTGAAGAGTCAAGGTCGCAGCTGCGACAGGACCAAGAGGCCAAGTCCACGGCCTTCTAGAAGGTCATGGTGGTGGCCTTTCGAGGTTACCCACATTTAGGTAGAGGTAAGTGGGCAAGTGGTGGAAGTCCACCATGCAGAGTCAGCAGTCCCAGTCCAGTCAATCCGGTCCAGTCAAGCAAGTACCACCTGGGACTGTGTGCACCGTGGGCCAGGGAAAAAGGGCAGACCGACGAGTCACAAAAGTATAAATCAAGAGGCCGCCCACAGCCATTCATTCATTCTTGCGGAAGCCATGCGGAAGCGCTGTCTTAGCAGCTTGTGCAAGGAGGTCTGCAGCAGCCCGAAGTTGAAGTGGGCAAGAAGGGTTAGCATAGTGATAGGTTAGTGGCGGCCATAGCCGCCATAGCTGTAGGTGGGGTGTAGAGAGGGTGTGTGTGTGTTAGTGTTCAGCGTGTAGCGTGGGGGATATCCAGGGTGATCCGGTGTGTGTGAACAGTGAGTTGTTGGGCGCTGAGTCGCCATAGCCAGTGAAAGTAAACTCTTATCGGAATACCATATCTCTGTTTTGTGTGGCCGCATGTCGCCAGTTTGCTGCGATGCTGTTTACATGCATGAAAAGTTTGAATGAGACGAGTCTGATTGCATTGGTATCGGAGCAAGTACCCGCTATTCCATGCGCGCCGTCGTGTGCAGGGCCTGAAGCGCTATAGCAGAGGTGGCAACCAAGGGGTTGAGTCCGCCATAGCGGACCGTAGGTTGGAGAAGTCGCCGCGCACCTGCAGAGAAGATCACGATGAAGAAGAAGAGAGAGAGAGAGAGAGAGAGAGAGAGAGAGAGAGAGAGAGAGAGAGAGAGAGTGATGAGTGATACAAGATTGGTTACTAAGTACCTGTGAAGTGTTGTGCAGTCCCGTGGAGAAGAAGAGTGCGGCCATAGCCGCTGAGCTCGGACACGGAGGGGACGAAGGGAAAGGAGGTACAAAAGGAGGAAGGAGGGAACACTGAGGTGGAAGGCAGACATAGCCGTGGAAAAAAAAAAAAAAAAAAAAGGAGAAACAGCGAGAAATGAGAAGGGTGACGAAGGGGAGAAAGAGAGTGAAGGTTGGTGAGAGAGAAGGAGCCGGCAGCCATAGCTGACCGGAGGATTGACCAAGCGTTGACCAGAGGGTTGACCGGACGTTGACTTGAGGGTTGAGCAGGGAGTTGACCGAAGGGTGTCCGCGTTGACTCAGGGTTGACCCAGGCGTTGACCGGAGCTGTTGACCAAGATTTTGACCAAGCTGGAGTTGGTAACATCTCGCCAAGCCCTTATCCTATCCCCGCGCCCTATGGATGTGCTCTCACCCTGTGGTACTTGCTGAGTCTGAGTCTGTCTGTCTCCTCTTTCTGCATTGAGTCTCTTCTGTCCTAAGTGATAGCACTCTGTGGATGAAGGATAGGACCTGGATGACGAAACCCCTACCTGACCTTGTAGAGCTAATATCGTGTCTAATCTCATTGTCCCTGAGGCCTAACCCTCCCAAGGACCGGTGCTGACAGGCGGGGCTCGGATTGGGCGTTACACGGTGGGCTTGAACGGCGGAGTTGTGGGCTGACACACCAGGCAGTCTTAAGTGTTGAGGGCCTTGTTGACCCAAACCCCTACCGGACCAAGTAAGGATAAAGACTGTGTCTGACGACTTGACTGTCCCGGAGGACACGAACCCTCCCAAGGACTGATACAGACTGGTGGGCTGCTCGGTGTGGCACTGTAGGCCTGAAAGGCTGAGCTGCGTGCTGTGCAATAGGCAAGACCAAGCTGATCACGTCGTCTTGTCTGCGACGTTAAAGAATTCTTGAGGAGTTACGAGGGATGTCGTTAAATTCCTCCTGATCAGCAACAGGTGTAGTAGTGACAACCTTAGAGTAGGTCTAGGCTAGTGACCATAGCTGACAGGGTTCTATACGAGCCCTGCAGTCCTTAGAGAGTCTGTTAGTGGGTTCTGCGGGTAGGTTTACGTTGTGAGGAGTGGGACTGTCCTGTCGTGCACCTGTCACCATGGATGATTACCCGATGTATGGTTTACTAGTGGGGTTCTCCCTCTGGGGGACCCTCTNGTCACCATGGATGATTACCCGATGTATGGTTTACTAGTGGGGTTCTCCCTCTGGGGGACCCTCTGGCGGCTCATTTTTCCACTTGGTTTCTGGCATACCTCTACCTGTAGGGTAGATACTAGGGGTTGTAAGACTACCAACCCCTACACACCCAAAGAAGAGGCCAAGGCCGCCGCGATCCTAAAAGAGAGGAGAGAAAAGAAGGAGGCCAAGAAGAACGCCTTACTGGAGGCGCAGGCGGCGAAGTTGAAGAAGATTGAGAAGGAGATGGCTAGAGAGAAGGAGAGGCTGAAGAAAGAAGAAGAAGCGAGATTAAAGGAAGTGGAAGAGGAAGAAGAAAAAGAAGTAGAAGAGGAGCTACTAGAGAGAGGAAGAAGAGGAAACAGAGGGGAGTCCAGTGAGACAAAGGAAGACTTGATGGAGAAGAAGATTTCAGAGTGGGTTGCAGGACTGACCCTGGGTGAGGATGAAGAGGCGTTAATGTATGAGCCCAGGGACAAGAAGGAGGCGACCGTGCGAGAGTGGGAAGATGAAGAAGACCCACTCAAGCGGCAAGTGCTAGAAGATGAGAAGAGGATGGAGTGGAAGTTCCACCTCACTAGGGAGAGGAAGAGAAGAATAGAGACAGCAACAGAGGCGACGAAAGAGTTGGAAAAGATCCGGAAGCAGAGGGATCAAATGGCAGTCCAAGTAGATTTATCGGGGAAGGTAGAGATTCTGGCCAAGAACGTGGAACGCCTGGCAAAGATCGAGGAAGAGCAACTTTTATTTGGGAGAGGTCAGGACATTGCCGTGTGTTCGATACGATCGGGACTTAGGGACTTTGCTCGGGAGTTGGCAATGCAGGTGGGCTCGCATGTGACAACCCGCCTCGAGGGCAATGAACAATACTGTGTTGGTGCCATTGAGGGCGCCAAGCTGACTGCCCTAAAGGAAGAAGAAGCACGTCCCCGTAGGGAGCCGGTCAAAGTTAAGTTTCYTGATTCCTACAATGGAAAGAAGGAAGAGAACTTTGACAACTGGGAAGCCAACGTTAAAACATACGTGCACATGCAGAAGGTGTCCCCAGATGAGGAGGTCCTAATCACCATCTAAGCGTTAAAGGAAGAAGCCGCCAGTTTTGCACGCTCCTTAGTCCGCGCTGCTAATTGCAGCGAGGATGTGGTTTCCTACTCTGCCTTTACCCCGCTCGCTGACTTTCTTAACTTGCTGCGCGAACGATTTGCAGATGTCTCGCGCAGTGTCAGAGCCTCTGATCGATTGCAAACTATCCACTCTCGTGAGTGGAGGAGTGCCAAGGCACTCAAGTGAGTAATGGACGAGCTAGTGGCTGTTCATGACCATGGGTTCACAAAGACCCAACTGGTCAACCTCTTCTACCAGGCTATGCCCGAGTCGTTGCGTGGGCACTTCTTTGAGAAGAGCCAGCAACCCACCATGACCTACGACGCATTGAGCAGGGAAGTGGTGGCGTTTGAAACAAAGTCTGTGTCAGTCTCCACTTTCTGGCACAAGGACTTGGACAAGGGAAAAAAGTGGAAGGGTCACACTATCTCTGGACAGGTTAAGACTAAGGATCGTTTGATCCTTAGCTTGGATGAGGGTAGTGTTGACGAAGTCCCCTACGACCAGATAGAGTGGGGGCTCGAGGAAGATGACAGTAGCAGTAGTCAGGGGAGGACCTACGCTGTTGTGGCGGCTGGAGGGAGGCCGCAAGGAGGAGGACGAGGCCAGGGCCAACGGGGCCGGCCTCAGGGAACCGTCCCCATGGTGATCAAGGGGTTGGCGGCAGAGGAGGAAACCGCCAAGCGGGAGGAAGGGATCAAGGTCCCCCACAAAACCGGTTCGGGAATAGGTCCCCTTATAGGAGAGGTGGATGGCACCTAGGGCTGCCACAAGGCAGGCCTAGGGAAGATCTGGGCCTGGACCAGCGCTTATGGCAACAACGTGTGAACCAGGCCACATCATTAAAAACCGTCCGAAGTATAGAGAGGCTCGTTCGGCTGCACAGGGGGCAAAAGGCAATCGTCGGTAGGGGTAGCAATTGCCTCTACCATAGGGCCATGTGGAGATGAGTCAGCAAGCCGGCACGAATCTCCCAAACCACATGAGCCCATGGCAGAAGTTGCAGGCCGTTGCCTAGATAGCTGCCCCGAGACTGTGTGTGTTAGAATCTCTCTAGGCACTTCCCTCACAGGCGTGGCAGAGGAATTGAAGGAGAGAATGCCCGCCTGGGCCAAAATAAGGAAAGAGAAAAGGAGGCAGCTCATACTAGTAGATACAGAGATTCTTAGAGGCCGAGCGGGCGCCTTAGTGGATAGTGGAGCCACTCGTAGTTATATAAGTAGGAAGGCATTGCAGCAGCTGAAGTTGCAGTTAAAAGTCAAAAGATTAGCAGACCCCGTAGTAAGTATCCTCGCGGATAATCGCACGATGCGAGTAGAGGAGTACGTAGAGGGAGTCCAGACGTATTTCCGCCTAGAAAAGGATGGGAAGGTGGAAAAAGTTCTCCATTCCCTGACTCTGCTCGTAGAGGATAGCGTCGCGTTTGACATAGTCCTAGGTATGGTCTGGGGAGAGGCAGCAGGGTCCACACTCCACTTGAGAGAGCACGAGTGTAGGCTCCAGGTTGCCCGTCTGTTCTATGCCTCAGGAGTAGACAACTCCCTGGCGCATTGCTGCCTTAGCGCTCCTACGTTCGCAAGGCTAGTGAAAAAGGAGCAACTAGAGGAACAGGTTTTTGTAGCCTATGTTAGGCCAGTTACTGAGCCTAAGGAAGAGAAGCCTATAGACCCTGCCTTTGCCAAGCTGCTGGAAGAGTTCACAGACTTAGCGAAGCCGCCGATAGGAGTAGTACCACGGCCTATCCAGCACCGTATTGAGATTGAGCCTGACAGTAGGACCCCCAAGGGAGCAGTGTATAGGATGTTTCGCGGGTGTTAGAGGAGTTGCGCAAGCAACTAGACGAGCTCCTAGAGAAGGGTTGGATTAGGCCCAGTTCGTCTCCATTCGGAGCACCTGTTCTGTTTGTCCCCAAGAAGGAGGGAGAGCTTAGGATGTGCATAGACTATAGGGGTCAAAATGTTATCACAGTGAAGAATGTCGAGCCACTGCCTAGGATAAATGATCTCCTGGATCGAGTGCAGGGGTGCAGATATTTTTCGAGGATAGATTTGAAGTCCGGATATCATCAGATAGAAGTTCATCCTGATGATCAGTACAAGACAACTTTCCGGACTAGGTACGAGCACTACGAGTTTATCGTGATGCTCTTTGGACTAACCAACGCGCCAACAACTTTTCATCGATGCATGAATAACTTGTTTAGGCCTTAGTTAGATAGGTTTGTTGTAGTTTACTTGGATGATATCTTAGTGTTTAGCAAGACTTTCCAAGAGGATCAGGGTCATCTTAGGCCGGTCTCGGAGAAGCTGAGGGAAGTTAACTTCAAGATCAACGCAAAGAAGTGTGAATGGGCAAAGACCCAAGTTTTGTATTTGGGCCACGTCTTAGACAGAGACGGCATCAAGCTAGAGGATAGTAAGATTGCAGCGATCAGGGATTGGCCTCTGCCGCGTACGTTAATAGAGTTGCGGTCATTCTTAGGCCTAGCGAACTATTATCGGAAGTTCGTAAGGAACTTCTCAACTATCGCTGCGCCCCTTCGCAGGTTGCTAGGGAAAGAAACCATCTGGAAGTGGCATAAGGACTGCACGTCTGCCATGAAGAAGTTGAAGCAGGCACTGATAGAGTATCCGGTCCTTAAGGTGGCCGATCCGTCCTTACCCTTTATCGTCACTACGGACGCCAGTCAATACGACATAGGTGTTGTTCTGCAGCAAGACGACGACAATGGTTATAGGCCCGTAGAGTTCATATCTGCTAGGATGCCTTCAGAGAAGGTTGCGCATCTACCTATGAGAGGGAACTCTACGCTCTCAGGCAAGCGCTAGAACACTCGAAGCACTACTTGCTTGGGAGACACTTCAAAGTCTATTCCGACCACGAGACGTTAAGATGGCTAAAGACGCAGGCCAAGATGACACCTAAGCTTACTAGGTGGGCCGCAGAGATAGACCAGTATGATTTTGAGCTCAAGCCAGTCAAGGGGAAATATAATGTAGTTGCAGACGCTCTGAGTAAGAGAGTTGACTACTTTGGAGCGATAGTTCACTATCTGGACATAGGGAGAGACCTGCATGAAAGGGTTAAAGAGGCGTATGCGCAGGATCCTATCTATAGTAACCTCCTCAAGAGAGTAAAGGAGGCCCCAAAGACCGAGCCCGATTACCGCACTACCGACGGACTGTTATTTGAGAAGACTAACGTAGTTGACCGTTTGTGCATTCCCAATTGTGAGCAGATCCGTAGTTTGATCTCAGGGGAATGCTACGACATAGAAGGACACTTTGGTTGGCAAAAGACTCTAGCCAACCTAATGCACGTGTATACGTGGCCAGGGATGAAAAATGACTGCATAGGGTATGTTCGCAGTTGCAAAGTTTGCTAGAGAAATAAAACTACTACGCGTGTCCTGCTAGGTCTTCTCAGACCCTTACCTTTTCCTGATGAGCCAGGAGATTCGGTATCCATCGACTTCATGGACGCTGGCGTCAAAAGTAGGTATGGAAAGAGCCAAGTCATGGTGATAGTCGATAGATATAGCAAGTATGTTATTTTTATACCTTTGCCTTCAGAGGCACGAACCGAGTTAGTGATCTGTAAGTTCTTTGATCACTGGGTCAGTGAGCACGGGGTCCCATTGTCCATAGTTAGTGATAGAGACACCCGGTTCACGAGTCAGAACTGGCAGGAGTTGATGAGAGTCTATGGCTCTAAATTGCTAATGTCGTCTGGCCGTCATCCAGGGACCAACGGTCACACTGAACAGATGAATAAGACCCTGCAGCAAGTTATGAGGATGTACATTAGACCAAATCAAGTTGACGGGGACGAGATGCTCCCCAAGGTAGCCAGTGCCTACAACAATAGTGTGCATTTGTCTACATGTTGCACTCCCAACGAACTGCATAAGTCCTTTAGGCCGTGCATACCGTTTGAAGGACTTAACCGGGATCAGATTCATAGGTTACCGCCTGGTACTAGGGAGTTCGCTATACAACACGAGAAGGAACTAGCTACTGTTGTAGAGAACCTCAGAAAGGCCCAACATAGAATGATAGAGCAAGCCAACAAACATCGTCGCCCCTCACAGTTCCAAGTAGGCGACTTAGTCGGAGTCAAGGCTAAAGAACATCTCGCAAAAGTTATTGCTTGCATATAGAGGACCGTGGCGAATTCTAGAAGTCAAGGGCGGAGAGAATGGTCCGTCCTACGCAACACAGATTCCAGCACACACCTCCACACCTACCCAGTTTTCCATGCCTCAATGTTGTTGTCGTGCACCGGAAGTGACCAGTTCCCATCTTGACGGTCCATGATCCCTCCAGACATGGACGGGAGGTACGACATTGCTGCATTGTAGGTGAAGACATGTTCAGAACAGGAGGTAGAGGCCGTCTTCAGAAATAGTATAAAGTCAGGTTTGCATACCAGGAACTAGAGGACGATTGCTGGTTCACAAGAACCGTACTTCTAGAAACAGCTCCCGACGTAGCCAGGGCCTACGAAAGAGATAGAAAAGGTAAAGGTCCTGCCTTGGACTGAATTATTCTCGGAGGACCTCGAATTTAGGCCGGTGGGAGTGAAAGGGTATTCACCTATTCGCAATAGCCGATGCAGATCCCAGGGTTCGATCCCGCGACCTATGTATTTATAACAATTGATAGGTCGTCGTAGGGTCCGTAGGTAGCATGAGTTTGATCTGTAGACCTGGCGGTTAGGAGTCTTAGTCAGGTTTAGAGGTCGTAGCCACAACTTTTCCGAAAGGTCAAGGTCGTAGTTAGTCCAGTCCTGAAGAGTCAAGGTCGTAGCTGCGACAGGACCAAGAGGCCAAGTCCACGGCCTTCTAGAAGGTCCCAGTGGTGGCCTTGCGAGGTTACCCACGTTTAGGTAGAGGTAAGTGGGCAAGTGGTGGAAGTCCACCATGCAGAGTCAGCAGTCCCAGTCTTGTCATTCCGGTCCAGTCAAGCAAGTACCGCCTGGAACTTTGTGCACCGTGGGCCAGGGAAAAAGGGCAGACCGACGAGTCACAA